GATGTTTGACTTTTAGCCTTTTGTCTTTTTGTGTGCTGTTCTTGGGAAAGGGGAATATATGTTTGTGGCTGCCTAGACTAGAKGGCATGCTTTTTGTTTTGTACTAAGGTAAGACAAAACGAGTGTGGAGAGTGCAGCCCTATCAAAAAACTATTTGTTCTTGTTCTTATTCTAGTAGTTCTATCTTGAATACCACTAAGTGCGGAAGTTACCTCACACTTTCATATTACAACAAGTCACTTRGAAGAAATCAAATGATTTATTGGAAATACAACTTACATTAAGACTATCTATAAAATTACAAATTAACTTTAAATACCCCTCTTACTTTGTAATTTTCGAAAGCTTCTTGAACTTCTCAGATTTCTCTGACGTAACGGCTTTGTTGAACATATCTGCTAGTTGATCATTGGTGTTTGTTTGGTAGAGGAAATTGTTGCGCCACGTGGAGGACAGTGATTCGCTTAAGGCTAGATTGCTCAAATTGGCAGCTCCACCTCGAACCGCCTAAGGTGAGAGAATTAATCACTTTAGGTTTGATCTGCAAGACGACAAAGATAATCGCCGGTCATGAAGTCTGTCGGACCCCACGCCTATAAATAGCGGGCTTCCTTCCTATCCCAGGTATCRAACTTCTTATTAAATCCGAGCTGCTTACTAACTTGAGCGTCGGAGATTTTGCCCTCTTGTGTAGGTTAGTCAAAAGAGATTCGAGTGCTTCAGCTTCCGAGTTTGACCTTGACTAGATCAAATCTTGTGCAAATTCTTGCATAAACATTTGGCGTCGTCTATGGGAAAGAACGTTCTARGTCATCCCTATTATAAATTTAGCCGAGATAGTTCAACCAGCTATTTCTGTTAACTCTACAGACCGACGAGGTCTGAATGGCAACAATAACCTCCCACGTGTGGTCGATGYGAAGACTACAGAGGATAAAATTCAAGGAGGCTAGGGGGTTGACCAGCCTCGAAGGTCGACCCGCAACGCCAACACGGTCCTACCTCTTGCTCATCTGCGATAGGGCAAAACCCACCGTGGTCGAGGTGGAACATCGAAGAGGACTTTGCATAAGCCAACGCCGACAACAGATCCTGATGTCCTCGCCACCCTCCAACGCGAGCTCGATGACATACGTACTCAGGTGCGTACGATGGAGGAGACCTATAGTGAGATGGTGCGAGCCAATCGTACTGGGTCTTAATCTAGGGTCCTAGAGGATGAGGAGGACCGACACCGAGAAGGGGAAACCCAAGATCCTCCTCTCCATCTTGACAATGATAATCAGTACCCTAATGACGATGGGGGAGCTGATTACAGCCGCCAGGAGGGCGACCTGAGAAATGTCTTAGTGGATAAAAAGAAGAAGAACTCCGCCTTGATAGGTGAGGACGTCTCTCATTCTCGTTTACAGAAAAATTCAAACTTTAAAGCCCAATCTCACTACAACCTGTTTGTACTCGAGGGGTGATCACAATGGAAGAGTTCGACTTGATGAATAGCAAATTTGATGCCCAGGTCGAGGCTTTCAAGGTAAGATGCGAGAAGAAACAAAATGTGCTTGATGACAGGGAAATGGGTGAGTCGCCGTTCACCTCGAACATTCTCGAGGCACCCATTCCTGCCAAGTTCAAGAAGCCCGCCACGTGCTCGAGATGCAAGCACCAAAGACCCTGAAACAGCTCAATGCTTGAATGGAAGGATCGCAGCCCTTAACAGGTTTGTCTCCAGATCCACCGACAAATGCCTTCCCTTCCTCAAAGTGCTATGGAAAAAAGGGGCATTTGAGTGGACGGCTGAGTGTGAGGAGGCATTTGAATAGGTCAAGTCCTATCTCTGCTCGGCCCCGTTACTGGCAAAACTCTTGCTAGGAGACAAGTTGCAGATATACTTGGCYGTGTCCAACAAGGTGGTTAGYTTGGCCCTAATTAAGCAGGAAGGAGTGCGCCAGAGTCTAGTCTATTACACAAGTAAGGCCATGACCGAGCCGAGATCAGATATCCCCAAATAGAGAAACCGACCCTTACTCTGGTCACGACTGCACGATGRCTCAGGCCCTACTTTCAAGCACATATCGTGACCGTGCTCACAGATTTGCCCTTGAAACAAATCTTTCACAAACYAGAAACCTCTGGTTGATTGATGAAGTGGGTGGTGGAGTTAAGTGAGTACGATATCCGGTTCGAACCTCGAACGRCCATGAAGGGACAAGCAGTTGCRGACTTCATAGCTGAACTCACGCCCCCATTAACTCTGACTGCGGAATCTGATTTACCATGGACCATGCATGTTCATGGGTCCTCTAATGATAAAAGATGTGGTGCAGGAGTACTCCTACTTGCACCCAACGACATGTGCTTTGAGTATGTCCTCCATTTTAACTTCTGTACCTCAAATAACGAGGTCGAGTACGAAGCCCTACTGGCCGAGCTTCACATGGCCAAAGGACTCGGAACCGGCCACATCTGAGTGTACAACGATTCTCAATTAATTATGAATCAGATTAAAGAAGAATACCAGACGAGAGATTATCGAATGGAGAAATACATGAGTAAGGTCAGGTCGCACCTCGCCCAATTCAAGACCTACGAGGTAAACCAGATTCCGGGGTCCGAGAAGTCAAATGTAGATGCCTTGGCTAAATTGGCATTCGCATATGAGACCGATCTCGTCAGGTCGGCACTGGTTGAGATACTTAATAATCTTTCAATCTTAGAACCAGACATGATGGTGATCGACTCCCAACCTTTAACATGGATGAATTTGATTAAGGAGTATCTCATAGACAACATTACACAAGACCCAAAAGAGGCAAAGAAGGTGGCGTGAAAGTCAGCTCGGTACATACTCCGAGATGGAGCTCTATACCAGCGAGGATTTTCCTTTCCACTACTAAAATGCCTCACAGCGGAAGATGGAAACTACGTCCTGAGAGAAGTACATGGAGAGGTTTGTGACAATCATTCGGGGGCCAGGTCGTTGTCARCCAAAGTAATTCGGTAGGGTTGCTATTGGCCCACGTTAGATCGAGACGCAAAGGAGTTTGTAAAGACTTGCAATAATTGTCAGCGCTTTGTAAACATTATCCATCAGCAGCCCGAACTGCTTACCCCGATCACCGCCCTCTCAGCAAGGGACAAACAAAGTTTGTTGTGGTAGTAGTTGACTATTTCACCAAATGGGTCTAGGCCGGGGCGCTCGCCACTATCATTAAAGCCAAAGTCACGAGCTTCATTTGGATAAACATTGTATGTCGCTTTGGAAATAAATAATTAAGTGTTAATTATTTATATGATTAATATGTGTATATATATATATTTAATTAATTGTTTATTAGATTAATAATTAATTAATTAATAGGATTAATTAATTACATTTATATATATATATTAATTAGTAATTAATTTTATTAATATTAATATTAATTAAAAAATAAATAAAATAAAACTCCTCTACAAAATTGCAGAGGAGTTACATTTTACGTGGGGGTTACTTACAGAACTGTTCTGTAATTTTGCTTGGTCACCCCGTACATTTCTTTCACATAAGCAATTCTCTCAAGGGTGATTCACGCTCTCAATTCCATTTTAGCTTCCAAATCGTTGCTCCCACAAGCAAAGATCCTCGCTGGAGACATARCAAGGAAGATCATTTGGTGCGGTCAATTTGGGGATTTTGAAGGATTGTTCATCAAAGGTAATACTCTTGGTTTTTGTGGTTTTTGTTCCTAAAAATTCAAGAACACGTTCGTCATTTCTGCTGCAGGATTAACATCCCATCAATTGGTATAAGAGCGGCGTTTTCACATTATGAGTGTCTTAGGATCTAAATCACTGTTCTTGGTGGGTATTTCTGCATTTTTGTTACGTGGGTTTTGCGGGTTGGATGTTTGCAAATTTTGACATTTAGATAGCGTTTTTCTTATTGATTCGATAATGTAAGGGCCCGTTGTTTTGGGCATAATGTTTCTGTATCGAGTCTGTAAGTCCCTGTTGCTAGAAAGTTGTTCGTGGCGTCGGATTGGGCGTCTTTTTGCAGAAAACAGCGAATAAGACGAAGCAGTTCGCACAKGAAACGCCATGGTGCTGCTTTTTCTAGGCAGCAACGTCGCGGCGCTGTATAGCGCTGTGGCTCTGCCTTGGCAGTTCTGGTGCTGCAGCAGCGCCGCAACGCTGCCTTTTGGCACCATGGCGCTGTCCCGGGTGTTTTCCAACGTGGTTCCGTTGTTCCGGTTCGCAATTCAAAGGCTGTTTCGGGCATTTTCTTCATGTKTTTTATTTATTTATTTTTACTTTCTAAATGCATGGACCACTTAAAAATACATAAGCAAATAATTACCAAACCATAAAATATAAAATAACTTAAAATTACCCCCATATTTGACATTGATATGAAAGAGTGGCTAAGCCAAGCTCCAAAGCTTCAATGGAGCTTTTCTAGGAAGCAGTGCAGGCATCCCAAAACCCACCCAGTTCTTCTATAGATAACAACCTACAATCATTACAAATAAACAAGATGCTCACTCAAGCATCATCGACTTCAAGAGCATCCTACCCACTCCATAACTACTCCAAACTCTCTAATAAAACTCACGGAAAGGTAGRCTACTAGGTTTCTATACTACTAGAATTTTGGGTTTTCGTGACGCACAAGAACAGTAAAATACTATTCAAATAAAAACAAAACGTTTCGAAAAGAAAAAAAAAATGTTTTTGGGGGGGAAAACGAAGATTTCTGGAATTTTGACCTTTTTGTGACGTTTTTTAAATGTCACGAAAAGTTTGGCAAAACAAGTGTTTTTCTTGACGTTTAAAAACGTCACAAAAGAGTAAAGCGCGTTTTTGGCGGGAAATGACAGAATATTTTGGATTTTTAATTTTAAGGAAATATTATGAAAAATCTATTCCTCTCCATTTTTAGAACATTAGCCTATTTTTTTTGTTTATTTTTAGGTTTGTTTCCTTGGTTAAATAAAAGAAAAGAAAAATAAAAAGAAGGGAAAACAAAATTAAATCAAAACCCTAGCCTCTCCAATATTCATCTTCTTCCTCCTCACTTGGTAGCCGCCTACCTCCTCCTTCTTTTGTCTCCGGCGACTCGCCACCAATCGGCACGGTTAAATCCCATCCCACGCCCAAATTTCTTTTTTCTTTCTTCTTCTTCTTCCTTCACTTCTTCTCCCCCCTCTTTCTTCTTCTTCTTCAGCCACTTCTTCTTTCTTCTTCTTCTCCYATTGTTTCTTCTTCTTCTTTCTTCGTCTATTCTACTGCTTCTCACGCTATTGATGGCACTATCAGGTGAGTAAAAAAGCCCTATTCTTTTCTTTTTTAATCAATCGTTTCGTTCCGTTTTGTTTTTTAGGGTTCTATCATTTGAAAAGTACGAAACACGAAATTTGCGATTCAAAATGCGATTTGAATTGTTTTGCCTTTGTTTCATTCTGAATCGTATACGTTTTTAACAACATTGATTTTGTGTACTCTCCCTCCAATATATCCCATCTAATATCTCTATGTTTTTCTTTGATAAGGTTCTTCATGAGCATTAATTTATCACTACTGATTTTGTTAAATTTTAACCCTAACACTGATGAACTCCACAAGGAGAATATCAAACGAGTTGGAATATACAGCTCCATGATATCCAATGGTATAACATGCTTTTTTTACTTATGCCTACACATTGGTCTTTGTCAATCACTTTTCTGATATATGACTTCAACTACAATGACCTCAATAAGATGAATGGCGTGCTGATATGTGTAGTTGCAAAAAATGGCTAGGGGACTATGAAATTACACTTATGTGGTATAGATTTTAGCCTCCCCAACTTTCTCCACTTCATTTAGACCATCAGACCATTCAGCTTCATCAACAACAAGTTTAGGAAATTCCATCTCCGGTTGCTCTTAATTGTTGTCCAGTATGATAAGGAAATTGCATTGTTTATATTTTTTTTCCTTTTGATAGACATTTCTAGAATAATTGACACCTTTTCAATTGATATAATTCTGTTGAATGAATCAGTTATCGCATTTTTAAGGTGGTGCCCTTCCTTTTAGGTCGATTTTGTCACTGTTTTTGTTTTAGAGCCTTTTTTTTTTACTAAGGAGGTGCTTTTGGTTGACTGATAACTTAGTTGTCGACATGTCTTTATCGCAGTGGCTTGTAATGAGATATAGTATTTTTAACTTGGAAGTTATTCAAACGGCTGTAAAGTTGGCCAAACAAGAGAAAAATTTTGTGGTATRTTCCWTGGCAAACCTCTATGTGCTTTTTGTTTTGAAGAAGAGACTTTTGTATCATTTTAAAAGATGTGTTTAGAGGTAAATAAAGTAGCTCACATCTCTATATTTGGCCAGATGGTTCGGGATCTTAGATTACATCTTCTCCAGCTACTGAAGTCTGGGGATATAGACATTTGCTTTGCCAATGAGAACGAAGCAAAAGAGTTGATAGGGTGATTGCCATTGCTTTGAATCTTATTAATTTCCGAACTTGACTGATTGTAAATCKAATATCTGCGCTGGGGTTGGCGTCTGGGGTTGTTGGTGCTTTGGATCTTTGTGATTGTTGTGATTGGTTTTATGTAGTATTTATATTCGTGTCATGCATATAGTTTAAAATCTAGTTGGATAATTGGCTATCCTGTAACAAAGATAGCCAATTAAGAYTTAGTGTTTATATTTTCATAAATGAGTCAAATCTCATTATTTGCTTGGTATTTCAAGGTTGTGCAATATAATCTCAGTTGCTACTGTTAGATTCTGCTCACATTGTGATGCTATTAGATTAGATTTTATATTTTAAGTCTCTAGATTTAGGTTGTGTAGCTTACTTTTAGGATTTTTAGTAATTGAAGAGGTAAACAACGTACTGTTCAATTCTCGAAATTTGAGTTCAATTCTGATATCTTTGTGTTGTCTGTGTTGCAATAATTTAGTGTATTTATTAGGATTTTAGTGCGAAAAGAATCTAATATAGATTTTATCTTATAATTTGTAGAGAATATTTAATTAGTTATTGTGGTAGTTTGTCGAAATTGCATTGTTTTGAAAGATTTGCTGTAGATCAATCACTTATATGGTTAGTCATGAACTTTTTGTCTTGAAGAGGTAAACAATAGCATTTTGTATTTAAGTCTCTAGATTTAGATTACGTAGCTTTAAGCTTTTAGGTTTTTTAGTAATTAAAGCTGTTCTTGAGTTTTGATGAGGACTAAAATTTCTCGTTTCCTCGTAGGTGATCACTTTTTGAAGATGAGGATGAGGTTACTAAATAAAAAAATTAAAGATTTCTTGGATGAAAAGGTTTGAATTTTCAATTTGAGTATTTGAGATAAGTGACTACTTTGTCTTTCTAATCAAAATTGTCGGCTCTTTTATTAAATACACTTTCGGTTCTTAGTTGGGCATGAAATTGGAGTGGTTCTATTTAGTTCTAATTTGTAATGCATTTTTTCGATGTCTTTTTTATAACTGCCACATGTATGTTTTAGTTAATGATGTAAGTCTATTCCCCTCTACGTTTTCTTGATCATGCTTTGATTTTGCCTTTCATATTCTTGTGAGAGACCTCGAAGAATGTGGCAACTACTTAGGATATTGCCATCATATGCTTGACTGACTTCTGTTTGGGATCTACTTTTGAGAATTCGGTTTCTACTGCAGGACCAGGGACAAACTTCAGCTTCTTGTTACGCTATCCCTCTTTTCTTTGTTTTCGGTTTCAATGTTTGAATATGCTTTTGTTGATTTTAGAAATTGGCATTTGGGGTTGTTGGTGCTTTGGATCTTCGTGATTGTTGTGATTGGTTTTATGTAGTATTTATATTTGTGTCATGCATATAGTTTAAAGTCTAGTTGGATAATTGTGTGGCTATCCTGCAACAAAGATAGTCAATTAAGACTTAGTGTTTATATTTGTGCCATGTATATAGTTTAAAATCTAGTTGGAGAATTGTGTGGCTATTCTGCAGCAAAGGTAGCCAATTAAGATTTGGATAAGTAGATTGTTTTTGCTTGTTATTGTTCAACATCTGTGTTGTTCATAAATCAGTTTTATTTGGGTAAAGTCTTTAATATTTGGAGAATCTAAAAAACCGTTTGGTATTGTCTATTTGCTTCTTTGTTTTTGTGAAAGAAAGGTTTTGTGTGAATGATTCGAGGGAAAGAAAAAGATCTTAGGTGTTATTCTTTTTTAACTACGAGTTGAGTGTTATTCTTTTGTAAATAAGACTTAGGAATAATGCTTACACATGAAATCAATTTGCCCATCAAGAAAATATAGTAGCACCCATCAACCACTTTTGAGATAAACAAAGAAACAAATAAGATTGCATWCGAAGCCAGCAAAAAGGACTTTTATAATTTTTATAGTCAGAGGAGTGTTTGCTTTTTTGTTGCTTCCTTAAATCAAGGTAAAAGAATGTGATTTCTGTTTTGTCATTTCAAAGGAAAGTAATGCAGGAGAAAGATTAGTTTGATTAATTAAGGCCCATTCACGAGGGAATTGGGTACTCGATTTGTTTTTTTTTTTGATCAACAAAGTTTTGGCATGAGGAAGAAGACAGTAAATGTTCAATGACTCACAACAAACATTCACCATTTTTGTTTATTCTTTAAGCTAGTTGGCGTGCGTGTAATATTCTTTAAGCTTGATTCTCTTGCCTTATTTTTATGTTGTTTATATTAGTTTTCCTTGAATATGACAATTATTGTATTTAGTCCAAAAAGTCTAGCTGGTTAGATATGGTTAACCTTGGAACAACTAACACTCGTCCCTTTATAACACAAGTAAGTTGAYAATTTATATTGTTTTTACTTATGTATTGTGTTTATTTCATTCATAACTGATAATATTGTGCAAGTACTATGTGTAGGAGTATTTACGAGAAATAGTGTAAAATTCTAGTACCCCATGAGTGAACTTATATGTATAATGATCTATCTTTATGTGTTTATGTCAACTTGGTTCTTATGCTACTATTATCTTTCTCTATCTTTGTAGTTAAACACAAAAAGCGCATATCTTAATTGACAGGTTCGAACTGAATGGACAATTTTTGTTGGAATTGCATAGACTTACTTACCGATTTTGTTTATTTGATGTTAAGCTAGTTGGATTACTTTTTGTTTTAGTAGAATTGAAATACTAGAGATGTTGGATATGTTGCTGGATATAGTTTTGTGGACGGATAGGTGGTCCCATTATAATTAGAAATGTTGGATGTTGCTAAATATAGTTTTTGTGGAGGGATGTGTGATCTCATTATATTACAATTATTATGCTACATGTGTCAAAATGTTGGATTTTTGCTAAATGTAGTTTGTGGAGGGACGTTGGATTTTTGCTAAATGTAGTTTGTGGAGGGACGGGTCGTCCCATTTCAATAATATTACATGTRTAGAAGTGTTGAATGTGTTATTTGTATCATATTTCAGGTATGATTTTAGGATGTTATAGTAGATGTCATGTTGAAATTTTGACATTTTTTGTTTGAGCTTGCGCAATGTCATTGCTATCGAGGTAATTGAATTAATTATGGTTAAGTTTGTTAACTTAATTTTGTTGTGTAAAAATATAATCCTATTGAGAATATATTTTGTGCACAAGTTGGGAACTAGTAGATTTATATATTTTCATGGTCATTTTATCTCACGGCCGACGAAAAGAAAATTTTGGTGTGAGTTCTTAACTATATCCCTGTTTATTCATTTGAAAGTATAGTAGTTATAACCATTCGAGTAATCTGAATGTTCATATTTTCTGGTAGGACTACTTTGTCAAACACACTACTTTGAAGTATCTATTTTGTCATACGAGAAATTTTTGGTTGGCTTYGTAGCTCAACACATATGTGGTACTACATTATTTAAAATTTTGTTTGAATGTTATTGTTTATGTCAATTTTTTTGAGAAAGCTCCTTTTCCTAAGTTGCTTATTATTGGTTTATATGACAGGAACGAGAAGTTGTAAGGGTTTGAAATGTTTGTCGAACTGCGTACAGGTGAGCTGAAGCATGTTGTGGCCGTTTCCATCAAAGTTTCATCATAACAAATGTAAGCCAACTTGCTTTTCGTCATCATTCATATTATARCATTTGAATATTAAATCTTTCTGAATCGAACTTGTTATATGCTGTGACTATAGCTAATATAGCACCTTTATCATATTATTGAGTAAGTTCACAAGGAATACTGACTATTGATTATARACGAGGAATGTACGTTTACAATCCCTCTGCTATACTAGCTAGTTTGTACTATATTGTTTAAGTACATTTTGTGTTATGCTGCTGAAGGATATAGAAGAAGTGTTCGGTTATTTTGTTATTGTAACCTCTTCTGTTATGTTTGGAACTTTGTTTAGTCATTTTGTTGGTTATCCTATCATATTATTGTGTAAGTTCACAAGAATTTTATGAATACTTAATATTGATATTTTCGTTACGGGATGATTGTACGTTTACAAACCTTATGATTGTACTGATATTTTGTGCTATGTAATTTAAGGATGTAGAAAAAGGCATGTCGTTTATTTTAATCGCGCTTCTTTTGTTTGGTTGTTATGTTGGTTGTTTTATCAGATTATCGAGTAAGTTGATAAAGAAGATTATGAATGTTGATGATTTGTAGTGTTGTAGAAGATTAATGTACGTTTTCAATCATTGTGATACTTCTTTAAATTTTTAAATATTATACGACTAAAGGATGTAGAAGAAGTGTACGTAGGTTCGTTTTTGTTTAATCAATTCTTTGACGTTGGAATAGTATTTGCAAAGAATACTATTGTGATAGGCTCCTAGTGTGTTTATTTAAGAATGTTATTTGCAAATATCACGATCCTTTGCAATTTTTAATAGATAAACACGTTTTTTAGAAAGTGACTTTCTTACCTTATCTATCTTTCGTTATTTATTTATCTAACTTGGGTATTGTTTTTTCATTAGGTCTTTCACAACCCCAAAGATGTCGACAATTAGGAATGCAACTAATTGATGGATGAACTTCGTTGTCAGGGTTGGTGTGTAGGGAACATGTTTAATTTTGTAATTTTGTAATTTGTGTTTGAGAATACTAGTATATTCTAAATTAATATATTAGCTTCCTTGTTAATGTTTAATATAGTTCAACTTTGTTATCTAAATTAATATATTTGCTTGTTCGATCGACAATTTGACTATATGATATTTCTATTACGCGACATCTGCAATCAAATTAAATACATTTTCTGTGACTTTTTTTTATCGTCACAAAATGAAATCATTAGTGACGTTTTTAAACCATGAYAAAAATATTTTTAGGACGATTATTGACCATCATGAAATATTCTTTTCTTGACGTTTAAAAAACGTCAAGAAAGGATGTCACGTGACCTTTCCTCCCTGTTCAAAGTCTTTCCGTGACCTTATATTACCGTCACGAAATCATTTTTCATGACGTTTTATGAACGTCGTGGAAGTCCATATCTTTCATGACGGTAATTAATCGTCACGTGTGTTAATTTTTGTGACGTTTCTTAAACGTCTCGTATACCTTTCGTGATGGGCGTATACGTGACGGCGTTAAAAACGTCACGAAAGATTTTTGTGACATTAAATTCTACTAGTGCTACTTTCAATAAGGATTGCAATATCAKGACCTTTCTACGAGCAATTCATTAACTGATTGCTTGCATCCACCCCTAGGCTCCTTGGGAACATTTACAGATCYGAATTCATTAACAAGTGTCTCAATAATTAATTTAATTATTATGGTGAAGAACTCGAGAAATAAAGATTTTAGTTGGGAAGTTGTTTTTCTTATTCTTCTTTTATTTAAACTAAGTTCTTGCAAATGGTTTTTGTAAAATATATTTTTTTAGTACGTAAATAGTAACTTTTAAGTTTTACCTATCATTCACTCACAAATTTTAAAACATTTTTTCACAAAGGAGTTTAAAAATAGTTTTCTAAACTGCCCGTAAAGTACCTGGAAATATTTTAACAATTTATAGATTTTTTTTGTGTGTTTGAGCATTGTTATTGTGATAAGTCGAATACATTCTAATATCAGTTGAGTATAGTAAAGAATAGAGTTGTGAAAATATACCATTGGATTGGATTAGATCGGATTAGGCATATTAATTCATGCATCAAGTAGGATTTTATTACCTAATAAAAAAAAGATAGGGTAGAAAGAGTTCAGGACTTCATGCCATTGGTTTGATGATGTGTGTATCATAGCAAAAGGAATGGCAGAAAGGCTCAAAAGAGCTCTTCGTTTTAGTGTTTCAAGCAATGAAATCACACTTGTGTAAGCAAGGCAAATGTACTATAAACTGTTGCTTAAGTTGAGTTTTTTATTGTTTGATATAGTGTTTTTCCTTTTTTCTTTGTAGATAATTTTTACCTAAGTTTATTATAGGCTTATGTACTAAACTGCTGTTTATACTAGGTTTATTATTGTTTGATATAGTGTTTTTTCCTTTTTTTCTTTGTAGATAATTTTTAGCTAAGTTTATTATAGACTTATGTACTATAAACTGTTGCTTACGTTTAGGTTTATTTTTGTTTGATATAGTTTTTTTTCCTTTTTTCTTTGTAGATAATTTTTTTAGTTAAGTTATTCTATATGGATAAGTTATGGATGAATAAAGATAGAATGTTAGTAGAATATTCCAACCGAGGGTGAAATTGAGACCCTTCACCAAATAAATGGTTGTTTTATTGTGTGGCCTCGTAAACTGGTAACAGTCACAAAAGACGCCAAGGTATTTTTTTCCTCTTTACTTAAATGTGAATGTAATCTTTAATATAAGTAGTTGCCATWTGTCATAATTATATCACATCGTGTTAATGATAGGGGTCTAAATCGAAAGCAAAAGGTATTTTGTGCATTCATATCCTGATCAGATGGATGTTCCTTCTTCAATAAAATTTTTGTATCGTCTTGTCCAACGCACTRTGGAAGATAATGATTCCATTCGGGTCGCCATCAGTGCTCAAGTATTTGGCGAATGCAAGGAAATACCTCTCTTTTGAGATGATATGTGCAATTTTGTGGGATGGTCTGGATATCAACACATGCATAATAGTATATATTGCGTAGGTGATTATATATTCTTCTATACATAATGTTGTAATAATTGTACTATCAATATTTTTTTAGACTAAAAGTCTTTTGTCTTACAGATATCTTTGGAAATTTTTTGAAGGTAACATTAAGCGCGATATGTTTAAGATAGTGGATCCATCTAAAGTCGCGAATGAAAGTTATTCCTCACCAGACGAACGTGTAAAAATTTTGGCTAACATTTTCACTTTWGGACAAACAAGCCAAAAAATAATGATACCTTACAATAGTAGGTAAGAAACAATGTTTTTTAAAACTTGTGGTTATCATAATTTAGTTATGTTATATTTGTTTATATATTACGCTGATGTTAACTTTTTTTCTTATAGGAATCATTGGACATTATGTGTTGTTGATGTGCGTAATAATATGATTTACGTTTTAGACTCTTTGCACCCTACTATTAAGAAAGACATTAAATATGTTGTGAATACGTAAGTATTATCTATATTTGTAGTTTGATACATTAATGTGTAGGATTGATAACTTATTATTATTATTTTTTAATATATTTAGGGCTTTGAGAATGTTTATGATACATAATACTGTTACACAAGGGAGAAAATATCCTGCTTGGCTTCCTGTACGARTAAGTATAACTATATTATTGCTTTATGTTATTATTTTTTAATAAGTTCTAAAACTTAGCATTTTTATATATGTATAGTGCTCACGTCAATCATGATCGATAGAGTGTGGATATTATGTCATGAGGAACATTCGACAGGTAATACATAATCCAAACACTCCAATACCTAATCTTGTATGTTTTTCATGCACGCTCAAAACACAACTCTACTTTTCATATTTGAATTATACTTATATCATTTATACTTTTTTACATGTAGTTCAATTCAAAAAAACCGTATACTCAAGCCGAACTTGATGAGGTACGAGATGAATGGGCCGGATTTGTTGCGAATTACGCTTAGTTTGGGCTAGATAGTAAATATAGTTTTATCATTTTAGCCTTTTAATATGTAAAACCTTGAACCATTTATATGTTATTTCAATATGCATTGGTTCGATTAGTGAGCTACCCAACATTTTGCTCAGTTTGTTCATTTAACACTTCTTAATATTGSTTAATTAATTAATTAGATATTATAGAAAGGATTGACGTATGTTGTGGTTGCTGAATTGCTGAATTCTATTGAGGATGTGTATTGCAATTTCTAATGATTGTGTTGATGGTGTGCTGATGATTGTGTTGGTGGTGTGTTGATACAGGTCTTTTCAATTATTAATTTATTTTGTACGATTGTTTGGCTGGAAATATTTTGATACATGTCTTTTATATATTATGGTATGTGCAATATTTTATTAATATTTTTGTTTCAGGTTTTTTAAAAAACAATGTCAGTTTAAAATTGACATTGTAATTGTATGTCAGTTATAGAGAAACGATGTCGGATCTATCAATGTTGGTAATTAACTGACATTATATGGAAATCAATGTCGGTCCAGAACTGACATTACAACCAACCGACATTATAAGCTACAATGACACTAGGGTTAATGTCGGTTGGGAACCGACATTRAAATAACCGAYATCGAACATATACAATGTCGGTTTTATTGATGTTGGTTGGAAATCGACATTGTTTTAGAAACGACATTGTACGATATGATAACACCCGGGTTAATGTTGGTTTGGAAACCGWCATCTAATATGTATGATGTCAGTTGACAACTGACATTACATGCCCATTTTGTAGTAGTGATCGTCAATAGGTGTTTATAGGTTTAATTTCTTAAATTTTATAACTCTTATAAAATTTTGGTAGATAGAAATTAAAATCTATAATAAAGAATTGCATGCAAACATAGGGTCTAAGTTAATTAATTTTAAAGGGGTTCAAAATTAATTAGACYTTAGGTTATATCTTCTAATATGATTAGGGGTAGTCTTTTATTTTGTTTTAACTAGGTTTTAAAATGAAATAATAAAAGACTAAATATAAAATATTGCCTATAAAGGAACCCTGTCTAAGGAAGGTTTTGTCTAGGTTTAAGTATTTAAGCTTATCGGAAGTGAACACCTCTACCTTGGAACCGACCTGGGGTTGAATTAGTCAATATTTTATATGCATGCAATAATGTCATTAGTTTATTAAACGTTTGATAAACTAAAACATTAATGTACAACTTCCAAAATAAATAGTTATATTGGGCTGACTAAAAATTCACTRAGTTAATTTCACTTTGTCGTGATTTAACAAAGTAATATACCCTAGTCTAAGAATACCAAGTGGGAGCAAAAGAGAATGTGTAATATACCACATATATTTTTGATATACGAAGTATATATAATATTTTTTTCTCTTACGTTTCTCCTTAATGTTCACACTGCGAGTTCCATGCTCGGCCTCGTGTCGCCCTGGGCGCGGCCTCCCTACGGAAGGTGTTTGCATCGTTAAATATCAAGGTGAATGGAGATAGTATTCATAGTAAGTGGGAGAAGGATGTGTGACAACACATCCTACGGTTTCTACCATTAGTTTGCATCGTGAGATTTCATACATGACCTGCATGTCGTCCTGGTGCGATCATCCCTACAGAGGGTTCATTGTATGAAATTGAAACCAAGGCAWACTCYAAAAATGGATAAGCGTTTCTTAGGTTTTGCTCCAATATTTTCCTTCCCTACGGCGGGATTATTGGAGCAGACCTCTGAGGTCTGAAAATGGTGGTTCACAATTACGGGGAGTTGTTAAGCTAGTTAGCAATTTCCTGACCGAATAAATAGTGATTAAARATTATAGGGATAAGAGTTATTCTAGTGTGAAATTTAGTTGAGAACATCTCAATTTAGTGAAGAAGTAGTTGTTTGCCCTACGGTAGCTGTTGCTCTAAATCACTGAAGCATCGTTGCAAAACAATTTTGTTAGGGTGCTTAATTACTTTTGCTAAAATTTGATTGRGTTTGCTAAAATAAGGGACAGGAAGGGGAGGCAAACGTTATCACCTCAAAAAGGTTCCACCGAGGTTCGCCCTTTGGAACCAAGTTTGCATCCTCTTCTTCTGGAAGTAAGACTTTCAAGAAGAAGAAGGTTACTTTKTAAGGGGTCTAAACCTGACTCCGCTACTGCCGCTATCAAGAAAGGCAAAGCTAAGGTTGCAAACAKAGGAAAATGTTTCCACTGCAACGTAGACGGTCATTGGAAGCGCAATTGCCCGAAAGACCTGGTCGAGAAGAAGAAAGCCAACAAAGGTAAATATGATTTACTTGATTCAGGAGCCACTAACCATGTTTGTTCTTTTTTTCAGGGAATTAGTTCTTGGAGATAGCTTGAAGCCGAAGAGATGACTCTTAAGGTCGGAACGGGAGAAGTCGTCTCAACTGTGGCAGTAGGAGAGCTTAAGTTGTTTTTAGACAAAAAATCATATATTTTATTAGATAATGTATATGTTGTTCCTAAAATTAAGAGGAACCTTATTTCTATTTCTTGTCTATTAGAACAATTGTACTTTGTTTCTTTTTCTATGAATGAAGTGTTCATTTCCAGAAATAGTGTTAACATTTGTTCTGCCAAGTTAGAAAGTAACTTGTATGTGCTAAGAYCAACCSTAACTAAAGCAGTTTTAAATACTGAGTTATTTAAAAATGCGTAAACTCAAACTAAAAGGCAAAAATTTTCCCCTAAAGAAAATACGTATCTTTGACACTTAAGATTAGGTCACATTAGTCTCAATAGGATTGTGAGGTTGGTTAARAATGGTCTTTTAAGCGAGTTAGAAGACGATTCTTTACCACCATATGAATCTTGTCTTGAAGGCAAGATGACAAAAAGAATTTTTACTGGAAAAAGGTTATAGAGCCAAAGAGCCCTTAGAACTTATACATTCAGACCTTTGCGGTCCGATGAATGTTAAAGCTCGAGGAGGGTATGAATACTTCATTTCTTTTATAGATGATTATTCAAGGTATGGTTATCTATACTTAATGCAACACAACTTTGAAGCCTTTGAAAAGTTCAAAGAGTACAAGACTGAAATTGAGAATCAATTAGGTAAAATCATTAAAACACTTTGATCCGATTAGGGTGGAGAGTATATGGACTTGAGATTCTAGGACTATATGATAGAAAATGGAATCACGTCCCAACTCTCAGCCCCTGACACATCTCAACAGAATGGTGTATCAGAAAGGAGAAATAGAATCCTGTTAGACATGGTTCGATCAATGATAAGCCAGGTTCAGTTGCCTAACTCGTTTTCGGGTTACGCAGTGGAGACTGAGGTTTATATTTTGAACGTAATTCATTCGAAAAGTGTTTTTGATACACCCTTTGAACTATGGAAGGGTCGTAAAGCTAGTTTACATCACTTCCGTATTTGGGATGTCCGGAACACGTGCTCGTGACTAACTCAAAGAAACTGGAGTCTCGTTCAAAAGTATGCATATTCGTAGGTTACCCTAAAGAGACAAGAGGTGGTCTCTTCTTTGATCCTCAAGAAAATAGAATGTTTGTATCGACAAACGCCACCTTCTTGGAAGAAGATCACGTTCGAGATCATAAACCACGAAGTATGATAGTGATAAACGAGATTTTCAAAGAGATTACAAACACGTTAAGTAAAGTTGTTGATCAAGCGGCACTTCAACAAGAGTTGTTGATGAAAGCCAACACATCACGTCAGTCACATCTACCTCAAGAATTGAGGGTGCTTCGACATAGTGGGAGGATTGTGTCACAACCCGACCGCTACGTGGGTTTAACCGAAACCCAGGTTGTCATACCCGACGACGGCATCGAGGATCCATTAACCTACAAACAGACAATGGAAGATGTGGATAAGGACAAATGGGTCAAAGCCATGGACCTGGAAATGGAGCCTATGTATTTCAATTCCATTTGGGAACTTGTAGACCAACCTGACGGCGTACGACCCATAGGGTGTCGATGGATTGATAAGAGAAAACGAGATGCCAAAGGAAAGATACAGATCTATAAGGCGAGACTTGTGGCGAAAGGCTACACACAAAGGGAATGGGTGGATTATGAAGAAACCTTCTCCCCTATAGCTATGCTCAAGTCCATAAGAATACTTTTGTTTGTCCATTATCACATATTATAACTATGAGATTTGGCAAATGGACGTCAAGACCGCCTTTTTGAATGACAATCTTGAAGAAAGTATTTATATGTCTCAACCCGATGTTTCATAGTACAAGGTCAAGCACAAAAAGTTTGCAAGCTTAAATGGTCCATGTACGGACTAAAACAAGCATCTCTATAACGCCCCGAATTTTGGTAACTTACATGGGAAAATTACTAAACCTACGTGCTCCAAACTTCCTCCCAAGGTATAAAGGCAACTAAACGAACATTGGAATTTCAGCTTTTCATTTACCTAAGTTAAACCTGTGAACACTTTACTTTTCAAATGGACTAAAGAACTTGTCCTTCGTGGACAAAAAAACACCTAACTTTCGTGTTTAAGTCAAGCAGAGCCAAAACAAGTAAATAACGATAAACAGACAACCTACTCAATAGAAGCATAACCCTACAAGATAAACAAATCAACTAAGTAAATAAAAATCACCATTCTTCCACTGCACCACTCTAATAATAACATCAAAACCAAAACGATTAATCCATGCTTCAATCTTTAAAAGTTAGCAAATTTAACAACATTAAACATAGTCCCTAAGCTTCTCAATGAAACTAATGACATAATCTTTATAGGAGTCCATACTTAAAAGAAAAGTCGTCTAAAACATTATACCAACCCCTGAACTTTACACAAGTCAATGCACAAAACATAGAAATAAACTAAACCATCAAGAACTCCTAAATACCTATTTTAGACAAGTTAAAACTAATCGGAAGTTAGCTATGGTCCTTCTTCTCGAGTCTCCCTTGCACCATCACCATCACCATCACTGTGAACCTGATCTCCACCTGAAAACAATAATTTCAAAGGGGGGTGAGTATTAAAAATACTTCGTATGTAGCCCTCTCTGACTACACACAAACAACATGTTTAGCACATGACATTCATTACGAAGTATTAAACTGGCATCCATGCATCAAAAAATGATAACACTCATTAATCCACACATGCAATCAAAGTAACCCCGATCACAAGGTCGTTAGTAGCCCTCACTAACTATACACAAAATAGCATGTCCATAATCACAATCATCAAAATGCGATCACTAGAAATCATACATCAACAAGTCATAACAATTAATCAATACACATATACAAGCATCCCAAAATATCA